CAACAACTAAGGGGATGTTGATAAAGCATCCTGATATGATCTATGTTTCGCTGAAGGGCGATAGGGACTCTGTTTTCCAGCATGAAGCATATCACAATTCCCAGTTGATAGAAAAGGATGTAATGTCGTGTGTTGCACTCATAAATTTGGTGTTTTTACCTCCGGCGAAGTTGATCTTCTTATTACTTCCAGTTTCATCATTGCCGTGGATACATTTGATACTTTATATAGCTTGTGGCATGAGTGTTGGAATCAAGTTGTGAGAGTCTATGATTGATGCTTGAAATTCTTGCTGGAGGAATGGGAGAAGCGTATTCATAGCTGAAAGTGTGATAACCATGGCTAAGTTTTGAAGATTTTGACCCTTTGAGAATGAGAAGTGAGGATACTAGAATATTTTGGGCTCTAGAATGTGTTGATATTTATAGAGCTAATTAGAAGAGCTTTTCTTGATAGTTATATGGTAATAGGTTTGTTCCTTGTGCACATTAAAAAGATAGCACGAAATTTTACAGGCATATTCTTTAATTTGATGTAAATATCCTTAGTTTTGGACCATCTCTGCAACCCAACAATCTGCAGGCAACAAAGACCTACTACATTAAAATTTGATATTTCCTATGTTCTTTTAGTGGATCTTTTGTACATGTTTGATACACACTAATCTTTTCTGTGACCCTTGACCTCTCACTTCGTTTCGTTCTTTTGCTGTAATATTGCTTGATTAAAGATGCCTCCAATCGTCTTGACTTTCCCGAATTCCCACCACCAGCCCTTTGCCTTTCCGGGTCTGGATTTTCGCAAATTGTTTCTGTTGTCGTGGTGGATAGGGAAGAAATAAATGAATGAATTGTCTTCAGAAATATGTAGAAAGTACACATACAGAGACGAAAACAAAAAGTTAGTCTATACAAGACTAACAAATTTTTAGCTTCTTTCTCGTCAGTAATGTCCTGTGCTATCAAATCCTCCCCATTAACATGCAATTAATGTTAGTTCTAATTGCTCTCTCTCTCTCTCCCCCTAAATAATATTGGATTAATTTATACAACATTGGGAAGGTCTAAATGACAAACATGTGGACAGGCAAAGGAATATCTTAGGCTCTGTCATGAATGACACATTTCATAACAAAAGACAAAAACATACCCCTTTTCTAGTCTATAAATACTGTTTTTCTCCAATGCCTTCTAATTCAGCTAAAGTTTTCTATAATCCTTCTTGCTGTTGTGCACTCAACTTTCTCAATCCTGTGAGCTATATCATGGCTGTCACTACCTTCATTGATGAATACACCTCGCCAGTATCACCATCGAGGATCTTTAAGGCCTCAATTGTTGATTCTCATAGCTTGATCCCCAAGCTCATGCCACAAGCTATCAAAAGCGTAGAATTCTTACAAGGGAATGGAGGCATTGGAAGCATTAAGCAGATCAACTTTGCTGAAGGTATCAGATCATTAATGTACTTCTCCCTCGTTACATATAGGCTACGAGCCGAATTTATTGTCATGATAGATTTATTAACTTTTTTTTCGTCTGCGCTTTCCAATCCTGCTTAGGCCCACTGGAGTAGTGTGAAGCTCGGAAGAGTACTTTGATACCACTGATCCACTACATTCATGTTTTGTGACCAAATAAATCGATTAATCATTGAAATGAACATAATGTTGAGTTTTCTATGTGCAGGAGGAGCTTTCAAATCTGTGAAATACCACATTGATGAGCTGAATGAAGAGACTTATACATACAGTTACACATTAATCGAATGTGATGCTTTGGTTGACAAGCTCAAAAAAATAACTTACGAGGTCATGCTCAAGCAGTCTCCAGATGGTGTCTCGATTTCGAAGGTAACAAGCAAGTACTATACTTCGGGAGATTTTATGCTCAAAGAAGAAGAAATCAAAGTAGGAAAGGAAAAGATGATGGCAATATACAAGGTTGTTGAAGCATACCTTCTTCAGAACCCTAATGCCTATGTTTAACCATGATATTTCGATAGTACTAAATAATATTAAAGAAAAAAATACGTTGAAGTTTTATTCATTATACTATTGAGTCGTGTTGAGCACTACTTTATACCAAATATGCACGGATAGTGTTTTTTTGCAGTTCTCAAGGTCTTGAAATTCCATGTCTTTAGTTTTTGTTTGCAAGCACTGGCTGAACAGTTAATTATCATCATATATGATGAATTTGTATGTGTTTCTGCCATTTCTCATGAATAACAGAAGAATCTTTTTCGTATACGTCGCACTGATAATTTTTCTTTGTATACTTTGTTCGAATTTCTTAATTGATTAATCTTGTCACACATATTTATCATTTGATCCATCTTAATTTCTAGATTTATGATTTAATCCACATGTTTGACAAAGTTTATAATTGCTTATAAATTTTTCAAACTTTATTTTTAATTTTTATCCACACATTCGGTAGGATCTATAATTTTTACCTACTTTCTTAACCACATATTCATCGAGGCACATTGTATGTAAACATTTGGGACTTGCTTGGGATTTGGGGTACTGATTATGGGTTTTTTTAAAGTACCTGTTTTGGTTGATTTTTTAGTAGCGATTTTTAAAATAATCAAATCCATGCTTGAAAGTTTATTATCTAATTTCTTAAAAATTATATATATTCCTCTTAGTGAAATTTTCAATTTATAATTTTTTGTATGAAATTTTTTTACTCATAAGTAATATTATACTTATAAATAGTTTTTACATATAAATTAATTTTAACTTAATAGTGAAATATTTACTTCTAATTAAATTTTTAATTCTGTACTTTTAAATTATTTTTTACAAATAATTAATTTTTTTACTTATAGGTAAACTTTATATAGTATAAGTGATTTTTTTGTTTTATTAGTACTATTTTACTTCATAAGCCATTTTTTTTATACAAAAGTGAATTTTTATCTTATAAATAATTTTTACTTATAAGTAAATTTGTAGTTAAAAAGTAACTTTTTTCTTTATATATAATTAAATTTTTTATTATTGTATTTTTAGGGGTTAATTTCACAGATGGTCACTGAACTTAAGCAAAAATAACAAAACGGTAACTGAAATTCAAAACTTGCGGAAACGGTCACTGAAGTTCCTGCACTTTCACAAGTTAGTTTTGAAACAAAATAAGTGAGTTGGAAGTAATTATTTTATAGATAGTAAAATTTAAAGAAATTTTTAAGAAACGACAAAAATTCACCTATTTGGTAGGTTAAAAATACGATCAAAATCATACTAAATTGATTTTGGGTGGTTTCCAATGCCCAAAATACTTAAAATCATTGTTTTTCTCAACTCTTATAAATGATGACACCTAAAAATGATCAAAATCAATGAAAAAAAACATAAGAAGACTCCCAAGTAGAACCTAAAAACTTGACCAAGCAAGCACGTGTTTCTCAAATATTACTCCTTCCATATATATATATATATATGTTGTAAAATGAAAGTAAATTAGGGTTTAGTGTGAATGACACATGTACCCCTACAACCTTAGATATAATTATCATATGTATCCCTATTC